CGCCATTCGACTTAACAGTTATGGTGGCCATTAAGTTTTATCGATGGCGCTACAGCTCCAGCTCCAGCTCCAGCTCCCACTCCCGCTTCCTACAGTTCGATCTCCGGATCACGGAGCCAATTTGATTTGTGGCCCACTCGAGAGGGCCACAAGGTATCCACCTTTGATATTCTCGCACATACCCCACAAAAAGATACGTGGATGCTTAACCGAACTTAATTGCAATTGACTTTTAATGCTTATGCGGGCTGCCCGCTGTGTTAATTCGAATTCAAACTGTTTCCATAAAGTGGGAGCCATGTGGCTCCCTCCCCATTTTCTATATGGATTGCTTCACGCCGCTGACGAGCTTGCACTCGACTTCATTATTATCAAAAAACTTTCTTATTTTTCTAGGGGAAATATTTTCTTAAAATATTTTGAAATGTCTTCTTATCATAAAATATAAGTTATCTTTGGAAATCTTCAACATAAAATATAACATTGCTATCAATCAAGTCAAAATGATAGACTTTGAATTTTCCTTTATTAACTACTCATCTTTAATTGCACTTAAAGGGGAGCTGACCCACAGATGCAATGTTCCCAAGGGAATTATTAACTGGCGCTAATAAAACGCTTCAGGGTATTGGGTTACCATCAGAAATGCATAAATCAAGTGCCGATCCTGATGGCTAATGGCCAGAGAAGGAGGCGGCTTTGTTACCAATTTAAAAACAAACAAAACGATTCCGACGACAACAAAGGAAGGGACATCGGCGGCAGAATCAAATTACCACAAGATCCCGAACCCCGAAACCAAAATCCAAAACCAAGTTAAGACCCAGACCCAGACCGAAACCCATATCCATGCCCCGCTTCTTACAAAACGTTCAGGATCAGCTTTCACAAGATGCAACTTAGACTTTGAGTCCCCAGTTGCAGTTTACAGCCAGTTTGTCATTCATCCCAGAGCAAAACACACAATAATAACGTTTTAATTGAACAAAAGACAGACCAGAGATTCCAGCAAGAATCCAGAGAGCCAGTCGAGCAACAATTGACGATTGTCGTAGGAATCGGACTCGGACTCTGACTCGGATTCGGACTCGGATTGTATTTGTATTTGCAGTTTTGTGGCTGCCTCATGAGGTTGGGTTTTTGTAGCCGTTCGACTGAGTATCTGTATCTGTATCTGTTTCTGGTTTTTCTGAAGTGACTGTGACTGTCACCTTTCCATCAAGTTGAAGGCAGGCGGTGGTGAAAGGCGCTCGGCGACCGTCCACGTGCCAAGCGGCATTGTTTGGCGACTTTTGTTCGCAGGCTGCTCCTCGATGGTAATTGATTAGCTGGCCAGCCAGTAGAGGTGAAATGGATAGATTCAATGGACACGTATAAAGGATCCCCTAATGAGGTCCATTTGTTGGTACATAAACTGTGTGTGCCCAAGCAGCTGAAATACTAGAACACCTAGTAAGAGTGGGCATATTATGTTTCCTAATTGGGGGCGGGAACTTTTCAAGTGATAAATATCTTTATTAGGACACCCTTATCTTTGTCATTTCTTCCTTGGGATGACATATTATGTGGCTATATTTCATAATTGCGGGAATATGTGTATGTATTATTCTTTGGAAATTTCTCTCAATTATCAACTTAAATATTTTCAACTTAAATTTGGTAATTCTTTAAATTAGTTGCATAGAAAAGCAAAGCAAAAAACTATCTCCTTGCACTGAAATCATCAAGGATAGTTACTCTGAAGTATTCGACTTTGATTAAACTATCCCAGCTATCCCAAAGAACCCGCATCCTTGCAGTTCCAATCCAGTTTGAGGACAATTAGGACTCACGCCCCCGTTGCGTGCCAGAGAAAACAGAATGCGAAAAGGGATCGAGCTGATCCTGCTGTGACCGAGGTCCTGGCATGTGGTCAGTAGACAGCCGTCTAGTACCCCCTCCAGGATCAGTATGCCATTCCCATCCAGATCTCTGGAGTTTTTGCGCTGCTAGATGTTTTTGCCAGGCACTTGCCCTTAACAAATGACACACGAGCACTTGATAAATGAAAGGCAGCTGATAATGGTTTTTGGTTTTTAGTCTTTGGTCCAGTGAAAGTAGCGCCAGGGATGGCAAACGGCGATAAGCCGCCCAAGGACTCCGATTTCTGGTGGTCCGATAAGCAGGGCCGTGCAAAAGGTAATTAAGTGCCATTAAAGTTGAGTGGAGAGCCGGCATTCCACAGGGCAAATGTATCTGTATCTGTTTATCTGCCGGATGCAGCGGCCGAGCGAGAGAGGAAAAGAGACCCAACGAATCGAAGGAGGAGCACAGAACGACACTAACACCATTACCATCACCATCACCAGAACACCAGAGCAGCAGAACACACAAAGACACAAAGACGGACAAATCAGACAGACGATTAACATACAAAAGGATCTCCACGAACTTTGGAGCCCGCCTTCTTCTCAGCGAATGTATCTGTATCTGTGCGGAGTGGTCGGGAGTTTTTCTGTGCGCCAATGGGCATGAATCACCGCGGGGAGGTGGGGCATCATGGGGTTAAGCAGCCACAGCGACGACTCAGACTGGGATATCATTTGTAGACTTAGCCAGCCTAAGGAATTATCATTTTAAGAAAGTAATGCAATTAGATCACATTGATTTTTAATATATTTTAACTATTTCATTTAAATAAGAACCTTTACATAAATGAAGTGATTCAGTGCAATATATTTTAGTTCCCTTTGCATTATCTTCCTGTTGCTGGTAACCATAGAGAAGACGGGAAATTCGATGCTCAATGTAAGTAGGGAAGAACAAGTGCCGGACAGACGGCGACAAGTGAAGAGCTGGACAGGAACAAAGGCTACTTAAGCAGCCTTGGCGCCAGCTGGCCATGTGTGGCAAACTGAAGTAAAGTAAAGCAAAGCCACAATGTCTGGCAACGCTCCATTTGGTCATTCTCTCGACCAGACGACGCCAATAGACTTCAATGGTATGGGATCTGAGCAGGCAGGGATCTTTCTCAGCTTAGCTTCATTTCCGGCGATCAAACAAATGGTTACCCTCTAAGACTTTTGTCTTAGAAAAGCCGTCTTGAGAGAAAAGAATATATTATAGATTCAGGAAATATGTTGTATGAGCAAGCATATGTCGAGTATTAAGTAGTTTTCCTACTCCAAAATGTCTTTTAAGAACGTTAAATGGCAGCTTTTGCTAAAACCTTTTGGGGTTGTGGGAGATTTAAAGCCAAAGCCTCCTACCAAACTCCGACATTCGACGTCGTCTTGGCTGGTCAGCAGCACCTGCTCAGTTGTTAATAAATGCAGCAGCAAGAAGTGCAAATGCAACAACTGCTGCAAATGCAACAGCAACTGCAATCTTTTCCAGCAGAGTCACGTTGGCTGCGCATGCGCGGGAGTTTCGAAGTCGAAGAAGAAAGAGCCGAGTTACTAAACATAGAGTCATCTCCACAAACAAACAAGTGCAACAACAAAAGGCAGTTAAAATGCATTTAGCTGGCTGTTGCTGTTATGTATTGGTGCCGAGTATCTGTGTGCCTGAGTGGGAAAGAGCCGGCATGTGTCATTCTTATGGCTGCCAACGCTGCCCTTTTTTTACCTCTTGCCTTCCGACCAATAAAATTATACTAATTCCTGACTTTTTGATTTCATTTTCTGTTTGTGTTGTTGCCAAGGATTTCGTTACCTAAGCACACACACTCACAAACACAAACAGAATGTCGGGGGCTCTCGCTCGCTCTTGTGCAGTCGATGGCATGTGCTGTGGATCATGGTGATCATGATCATGATCATCGTCATTATACCATCGCTGCCTGGCTGGCTGGCACATCTGAACACCCGAGGTCCCAGACTCCAGGAATGCGCAGACAGTTTGGTTTCGTACTTGGCTCATTGCGCTCGTGCAGCTCGAAATCCCAATCCCCGAGAGCTAAATGCTCCACTCTGCTGGCCGAAGGAAACGACTCGGTTAATTGGATACTTAATTCGCAGTAGTGTCAAATGTAAGTAAGGACTGAACTGCAAACAGTGTCAGAAAGTGGAATACTATTGTTATAAGACTTATTTTGATATTTATAGGAAGACCCTATTGTCTATATTTAGCAAGCGTTCTGTTAAAAGGAAGTATTTGTTTAAAATTTTTCATCAAAGTCCATGTCAATCGAGAACGAAATGATTTTCTTAAGGAAAGTGTTTGTTCTACATTTTATGAGCTGAAATTCTGCTCATGAGCACAAGTCGCTCTATTATTTAGCTGTTTACTAAACTTCAAATCACTTAATGGATTTGATTTTATTTTACTGGTTAAAAGCTACTACTTTTCTGCCTTTTAAAAATAATTTTATTAATTGTAAAATTAAATTGAGTTGCTGATATATGAAATTTATTTCACAATCTGTGAATTTTATTGGGAAGTTGTTTCTGAAATATTTGGAATATTATGAGTATTTTCAAAACTTTAAAAGCATAATTTCACCACAGGCCGAAACCTTTAGTTCCCACCCTGCGTTTTCCAAAATGCCTGCCCTAAAACCCCATAGATATTTTTCCACCAAAAGCTCAGAATGTGTTGCCGAGTGAGATTCTCTCCAGCGAGAGAGAAAAACCACTCAAAACGGCAAAGAGCGTCGACCAATTAACTGGTTGAGTGTGTGTATGTGTGGTCACTCAAGAGAGCGGCTAAAAACGAGGAAGATTTTGACGTCGCGCTGGCTGGGAATCCGAGTCCGAGAAACGCTAGACGAGATGCCTGATCATGATCGCGATAATGATGGAGATGGGGCTAAGACCCCAACTTTTCGAGTTCTCCCAAGTTCGGCGACTCTCTCGGCTGCGTTCTCTCTCTTTCCCTCTCTCTCTCACTCTCTCGTGGAGTGGAGCTGCCGAAGTGTCTGTGTATCTGTGTGCTCGGCACGTCGATGTATCTGTAACCGAGCCGAGTATCTGAAGTATCGGAATCAGGTAGAGGTAGACAGAAAGGCGTTAGTCGTTCAACAGCGCTGATCGAGTTTAAATCTATAGCGAAATGAGCGGCGGAAAGTGAGCCACTTGGCGTGAACCCAAAGCTTTCGAGGAAAACTCTCGGGCCACCAAAAAAAAAAAAATTACAAGAAAAACACAAAAGTATCTGAAAGATTCGCGAAGTGACGCGTGAAGATCTCCAATCCCCAAAAGATCTCGGTGCGGAAACAAAGAAATTGAGGCATTTGAGGTTGTTGTGCGCGAGTGTGTGTCTTCTGCTTGGTGTGTGGAATGTCAACTGACGGGTTGTAAAGGGAAACCCTGAAATCCGAACAGCCAAAGCAAATAAAGCTGTGAATACGAAATAAGTACAACAAACATTTACAGATACAGATACAGATACAGATAGAGAAACAGATACTGGAGATGCTCCCAGATACAGCTACTAGTGAATTAGTTTAAAAACTCAAGAGATCTAAGAAGAAAAACATAGTGCGTGTGTGTCAGTTGGAAAATATGTGGATGACCTGCGAACCGTCAGCCGAAGGAGCCGCCGGGTGACAGGTGCATCCCTCAGATACCCAGGATATCCAGACCCATCAGGATTGCACATCCCAACTCCAGGGTGTCAGGGTGTCATGTGCCGCGGCATTTCGACCGCAGCCACATCAACCGACCAGGTGCGCCTTGAATGCGGCAACACTATTTTCAACAAGAACTCGATCTACTTCATCTACAATTATCGAAGGAAAACAGTAGCCGACGACAGTAGCGGCCGGGCCCACAAGAACACAAGAACATCCCTATCAGATATTTACACAAGCGTGATTTATTTGAAAAGCGAAACGGCCAGAGCGCCATAAACATCTGTAAATTGTGCAAATATATCCAAGTGTAACCGAAAGCCGCTCGCCGCGATAACGGATCCCATTCCCATTCCGATTTCGATTCTGAATCCGAGTCCAAGCCGATTCTGATTCCCCGATTTCGATCCAAATTCCGATCCCGTCATAAATTCAGTGGAACGAAAAGTGTACGAGACAGTTGGTCGCTCCTATTTTGCTTGCTTTCCGGGCGATCCATCACACGGCTTTCGAATTAATAACCGAACACATGTCGTATCGATATTCGACTTGAGCGATACGGTCACCCGGAGATCCAATATCAAGCGATACCACTCGACCATAGGAAACTTTATAAGACTGAGGTGAGTGCCGGGCCTTCGTCCACTACTAAGCTTATGTAAATGTGTCAAAAAAAAATATTAAAAGAGCGTCGAAGGGGCGGAGGTGAATATCTGAACTTGTGAGAACTGCACACAAAACCATTGCATAATGACAGCTGTGCATTCGATATCATCGAAGAGCCAAGTTCATTTGATATTGAAAAATACTTGGCCGTCCGAGGAATTTTCGGGTTGTTCGCCTTGTCGATGGCATGTGGCATTCAGATACTTGAAGATCTCAAATTTTACTTGTCCACAACTTGGCGATAGGAATTGGTAATGGGATATTTGGCGAATGTTTTTTTGGCCAAAAGTTATTTTCAAAGTCAATCGCTTTGTATCATTCTTTCACTCAGCAACAGTTGGTGTTGCCTTTAATAAGAAACTTGTTAAAAATAATCATTTAAAATATTTGTAAGTTTATAAGCTAGTTTAGCTAGACAGATATAACCATGTCTTTATTCAGAAATTCATAAATAATTGTTGTTAATACCTAAGCATAATAATTATTAAAAGGGCGTGCATTTAAACAAATTCTGAACCCGTTGCTAACACAATTTTGTATAGTTCTTAATCAAAATATTTCCCCACGTATATCATAATCGTATTGTGCTCTGGCCAGATATCCTATTCCAAGAACTCCGCTGACCTTTGTTGGCCAGCACAATAAAGTACCGTTCTGATACACAACTAATATTATAGATGGGACCCTCTCGAATCTTAAAAAAGGGAACATAAAAAGCGGCGGCAAAGACAAAACAAAAATGTCAATATCCTGGCACATAAATAACCCGGCAGAATATAGTCTTTGGTTCTATTGTAACCATCTGGGTGCGTGAGTGTCCAAGGGTTTTGACGGTTTTGTGCCTACGTTGGCGTTTATTATTAACCAATCTAATTGCTGACGATGTGCGGCATAGATTACTATACTAGATTTTAGCTAGTGTGTGTGTGTGTGTGAGTGAGTGTCTTGGTATTGGGTAACCGGAATCAAACGTTAATCATTAATAATAAAAATGTGTCAATTTGCGAAACATTTCGGCGTTGTTGGTGCTGCGACAAAAAGCTGAAATTTGAACTTTAGCAGGCGCTTGCGACATTTCACAGCTCGAATTGAGCTGAGTGCGAGTTATAGATATAGTAACGTATCTGGTATCTAGTACGCCTAGTTTCACTGAATGGACGGCGTGCTTGGAAATTCCGGATAGCGCCTGGCATTCATCGATCCGATGTCTAGGGGAAACCCCCGTATGTCCCAGATCACCCGGCATCGGGCAGGTAGTAAAGAACCACCTTTAAATACAGCTAGACTCTGGCTAGAACCGAAATTGGAACTGTAACTGAAACTGAAACCACACGCAACCACAACCCACGGAATATGAAATTCTGGGAACATATTAAAAACAAACAACAAATTATGAACAAATCATAAACATATTTATGAAATTCAATTTCATTCACCCTTTCCACGGTTTTCCCCTACTAATTTCAACCAATTTCCCCTCGACCCGCCTTATCAGAGGCCCAAGATCTTGTGCACCCCCCAGCGTGTGCCATCTCTTCGAAATTCCAATTTAACCATTTTCGAAAGATCCCTTTGCGCTTAAGCGCCCTGTCATATAACAAATTTTTTTAGTACAAGATAAGATGGTAATCTTTATGTGAAAAACAACATGTAATTTGTTCTAGGTGTGTGCGTGTACCTTTCTCAAACTCATCTTGAGATAAAATCTGGAAAATTTATAGCCTATAACCAAAATATATAGAATACTTCTAATAATTTTCATAAATTTTCCAGATAAGTTTGGCTCTCTAGGTTTTTGAGCATTTGCCGCCTGTTTGTAAATCAAAGCGCTATAAGCGATAAGTGGAAAATATGACGATCGAAGCTACTCTAATAACCGAAAATACAAAAAAATCTGAAGGGGGGTATGAGGTTGGGATTGGAATTGGGATTGGGGCTGTATTGAATTTCTATTCGTAGACACAAAAACGATAAACCTGGTCGGTCCCAAAAGATCGTGTGTCAGTGCAAAAGGTGCAATGTCCGCCTGCGATTGCAACACTTGCCCAAGACCAACTGAGACGGGGTGGCAGGTGGGAGGGAGATGGGTATAGGGAAGAGAGCCACCATTTTTTAGTTGCACCTTTCACCCCGAAGGGCCGTGGTCATAAAACTTTGGCCAGGCGCGCTCTGCTCTCTTTTTCCCAAATGGGCCAAAAGGAAGCGAGGTCGCTGCCGCTGTCGCAGTCGCTAGCTCGGTCGCTGCCTCTGCCGCAGTTACCGCCGCTGCTGACGTCGCTTACCTGCCGAAGAAGAAGAGCAGCGTTCAGTCGCGCAGCGCACGTCGTCCAACGCACACACGCTCAGAGACACTCACACAAACACACGCACACAGATACACCGAAACGCCGTCGAGAAAGATACCAGATAGTATCTGCCAGATACGAAAGAGTTGGACCCTATAGTTGTCCCGCTTGCACCCATGGCCGCTTGAGTGTGAGTGCAAGAGCGGATTGGATTGAGTGGAATACAATACGATCCCAGTCCAGTCCGGTCCGGGTCCGAGCCCAAATCCGAATCCGAATCCCCTTACGAACCCAACCCGAAGCCATAACCCTTGCCGACCAACGCTTAACCCATGTCTTCGTCTTTGTCTCGTTTCAGAGTTGCAAGCGACCATGCGCGCATGGCTTCTACTCCTCGCAGTGCTGGCGACCTTACAAACGATCGTTCGAGTTGCTAGCACCGAGGATATATCCCAGAGATTCATCGCCGCCATAGCGCCCGTTGCCGCCCACCTGCAGATTCCGCCAGAAGGATCAGGACCAGCGTCTAGATCAGGATCGGGAGGAGCAACAACCAGCACAGCATTAGCAAAAGCATTTAATCCATTTAACGAGCCCTCCTCGTTCAGTGATAGTGATAAAAGCCATCTGAGTAAAAACCGCAACAACAAAAAACAACTTAGCAAAAGTGACGCGAACAACCGACAGTTCAACGAAGTGCATAAACCAAGAACAGACCAATTAGAAAATTCCAAAAATAAGTCTAAACAATTAGTTAATAAACCCAACAACAAAATGGCTGTCAAAGAGCAAAGGAACCACAACAAGAAGAACCACCATCATCGCAGCCATCAGCAGCAGCAGCACCAGCCAAAAAAGGCCGCCAGCCCATCAACATCCGCATCCACATCCTCAGAATCTCATCAATCATCGATTGAATCAATCTTCGTGGAGGAGCCAACGCTGGTGCTCGATCGCGAGGTGGCCTCCATCAATGTACCGGCCAATGCCAAGGCCATCATCGCCGAGCAGGGTCCGTCCACCTACAGCAAGGAGGCGCTGATCAAGGACAAGCTCAAGCCGGACCCCTCCACTCTAGTCGAGATCGAGAAGAGCCTGCTCTCGCTGTTCAACATGAAGCGGCCGCCAAAGATCGACCGCTCTAAGATCATCATCCCTGAGCCGATGAAGAAGCTCTATGCCGAGATCATGGGCCATGAGCTCGACTCGGTCAACATTCCCAAGCCGGGACTACTGACCAAGTCGGCCAACACAGTGCGAAGTTTTACACACAAAGGTGAGTTTATATTTAATATTTATTTTAGTATTAGAAAAATATAAACCCGTTAGAAGGAAGGAAACCGGAAGCGTATAGATAAAATATCTAGAAAGATCAACATCCTTTTTATAATCAGTCCTCACTTGGATTAAAATGGTCTTAGTTTCTTTCCCCATATAGAGTTACTTACCCAATCTTTAGGGAGATATAAAATATTTCTAGGTGTTTATCAAATTGCTCATAAACGGCCCGTTTCTAAGAAATCTGCTATATCCATTCTCTTTCACCAAGTTATATTGCCATTTTTATAAAGGAGAATAATTTCCATTTAGATTGGGGAATGTCGACCAAATAAATTCCATACTGGTTTATCTAGATCGTTGGATTCAATTTTATTTTGCGAATAGATAGGGATATTAAAATGCGAGAACTATATAATTTTATTAGGAAATATTCATATATACACATAGGCGGTAAGTATATAAAAACTTGCCTATTTTATTGGGACATAAATCGAAGCCAAACATAATCCAATCCATTACTTCCTATACCTGCATTTTCCACCTGCTGTCTGCCTAGAACTTTGCGCATTGCCAAAGGCTTCGATTTGTATTACCCTTAATTTATACTCCCACTCATCGCAACGCGTACTTTCCGCTACCAAAATGCGAATGAAGATCGAGTCGGATTTTCCCTGAAATTCTAGTTCATCTAAGTGATTTGCATACCTGCTTGTCTGGCCAACCCGCCGATCCTTCGATACCTCGATACACTCCTCATATCATTCACGCAAGCGCTGTGAAATCACGCGGAATTTCCACGGCTTTCCAAAATGAACAGCTAAAAGGACACGAGAGTCCTTTTACCTGCCCTTCTGCAATGCCATTCCGGCAGTGACCTTGAAAATTTTCCAAGGAATTACACCAGGAACGTTTAGCGCATGCGCTAAATGGCTTTTATATTGTATTTGTAGGAATAACAATAATTATTAAAGCGTATTTCGCATTATTTTCCGCAGGATTATAGGGTCGAACAATAAAGCAGTTAGAGCAGGTAACCGCCAAACAAACCAAGTGTCTAAAGCCAAGTGTCTAAGCCGACTGTCGAGTCGAGTTTGTCTTGGTTACGGTTCACTTTTCAGTTTCTGGCCACGTCTTTAGGCCGCATCTGTGCCGATTTTCAGACTCGGACTGGGTCTCATCCCTCCGGTTGATTCTCGCTTCTTAAAAGAATTTACGACTCGCTTTCCATTGTGCGAGGTACTTGAAAACGGCAGCGGCGGCGGCGTCGATTCAAAATTAAGATTTTTGGGCAAGCGTGCAGAGTTTGCACCTTGCCGCACGGATATATGTATATTTGTGCATACATAGACAGATCCGAAAAGGTAGGGCGGGGGTGGGACAGGGTCTTTAGCACAGGCGCCAGTCGTAAAAAGGCGGCTGGACAACTGGAACGTGCGATTTTCGACCTTCTTTGTCCCAGATTTCGCTGCACTTTCCACGCTCTCAAGCAGTGGGTGTATTTAAGCAGGAGATACTTACCAATCCAGCCGTCCAGGTAGTCGACGACTGGCCCAAGGTGTGGCTAATCATCTGGACGGAGATCCGAGCCCGCTTTATATCCCAACTGATCGAGGCTTTTGCACTTGATCCACCGGATCGTCTGGCTTAATTCGTTGATTCCCGATTCGGGTACATGAAAGGGCAGATGGAAACTGTTTTTTAGAAACTGTCTTAAAAAATAAATATCGAAATCTTCTAATTGAAATATTTAGGTTCCATTACTTAGTTTATATACATTTCCAAACCCCAAACTGACCTGTAACATCTTTTTCTTCCGGCTCCTTGCAGATAGTAAAATCGACGATCGATTTCCCCACCATCACCGGTTTCGGCTGCACTTCGACGTCAAGAGCATTCCCGCCGACGAGAAGCTGAAGGCCGCCGAGCTGCAGTTGACACGGGATGCCCTGAGTCCGCAAGTGGTGGCCAGGACGTCGTCGGCGAACCGAACCCGCTATCAGGTGCTCGTCTACGATATAACGCGTGTGGGAGTGCGTGGCCAGCGGGAGCCGAGCTATCTGCTGTTGGACACCAAGACGGTCCGGCTGAACAGCACGGACACGGTAAGCCTCGATGTCCAGCCGGCCGTGGACCGGTGGCTGGCGAATCGCCAGCGGAACTACGGTCTGCTGGTGGAGGTGCGGACTGTCCGCTCCTTAAAGCCGGCGCCGCACCACCACGTACGCCTGCGCCGCAGCGCGGACGAGGCGCACGAGCGGTGGCAGCACAAGCAGCCGCTTCTGTTCACCTACACGGATGATGGGCGGCACAAGGCGCGCTCCATACGGGATGTGTCCGGCGGAGAGGGTGGTGGCAAGGGCGGAAGGAACAAGCGGCAACCGAGGAGACCGACGCGTCGCAAGAACCACGACGACACCTGCCGGCGGCACTCGCTGTACGTGGATTTCTCCGACGTCGGATGGGACGATTGGATTGTGGCGCCGCTAGGCTACGATGCGTTTTATTGCCACGGGAAGTGCCCCTTCCCATTGGCCGATCACTTCAACTCGACGAACCACGCGGTGGTGCAGACGCTGGTCAACAACATGAATCCCGGCAAAGTGCCGAAGGCGTGCTGCGTGCCCACGCAACTGGACAGCGTGGCCATGCTCTATCTCAACGACCAAAGTACGGTGGTGCTAAAGAACTACCAGGAGATGACCGTGGTGGGCTGTGGCTGTCGATAGATTCGCACCATCGCACCACCATTTCCAAGTGGAAATCGCGAGCGAGAGAGCATCAAATGCTGTTTGGTTCCAAGCCGTCAATGCTTTAAACACAACGCAAACAAAATGGACTGAATATTTGAATTTTAAGTGTAAATCGTTAGACTTTAATCGTATCGACTAAACGTAATCGGCGGCAGCCACGCCCCCCCCGAAGAGCCACCCACCATAACCGCCCACCTTGGAGCCTCTGTCAGTTTCCCCAGCCAGGCTGGGGAAAAATCCCAGATCAGAGCGATTTTGAGAGCGCAGAGTCCACTGTATATAGCCGCCATGCCACGCCCCCAAAACCAGAGAACACCCCCATCCGTCAGATACTTCAGATATTAGATACTTTCGTATCTGTGTGAGCTGCTGCTGCTGAAGAAGAAGTAGAAGTATGAGTAGGTGTAGAGGGAGTAGAAGTAAGAGTAAGAGTAAGAGCGACCAATTGAACAAATTGTATAAAAATGCTAATATATTAAAACACTTTATCGATGCGAACTGGTATCTAAGTATGTATATGTTTGTGGAAAGGAGACCTATTCTACTAGCCGTTTTTGTTAATAATTTTATAAATCAATAGCAATCCATTTGTAAATTAACTAGCGAGAGTATAATCGAATAATGACTTGAAATTACTTAGGAACTATCTGACCTAAACCATAGTTTTAGACAAAAGTAAACAGAAATTGCATATGTCACTCTCTTGTATATGTACTAAATACCTATATACAATATATGCGATACACACACATCAGCACACACTCACCCATAACCACACACACACACACACACACACTCACATATCGACACGAAAGGGTATTCAAACTTCGTTCCGAATTAAACTAAAACGTAACTGTATAAACAAAACGTATGCTCTATAAATATATGAATAACTATTTACATCGTTATGCGTTCTAAGCTAAGCTCGAGTAAATCCGTAAACGTTAATTAATCTAGAATTTTAAGACCTAACGCTTAAGCTCAGCATGTTGGATAAATTAATAGAAACGAAAGAAACAAAAACAAAATGAAAAACCCACAAAAAGAAAACCCGATGGATGGAAAATATCGATTCGTGCCTGATGTTGCAGAGCACGATTTGTATATGTAATTCTTCATATAAACTTTATTATTTTATTTATTTAAAAAGAAAACATATTTTTGATGACGACGATGGCGATGATGCGGGAGCGATGAGGAAAAAGAAAGATGAAAAATATAAAAGAAAAACAATTTATTAAAAAAAAATAAGCAATGGTATTTATTTTATTTTTGTTTGGGAGTGGGAGTGGGAATGGGAAAAGTTGGGATTCTACAAATCTAAAGATTATTTCGTTTTATAAAAAGAAATATCAAAAAAATCCTTCGAGCCGGATTTGAACCAGCGACCTATGGATGCCTGCTTTGTGTTGCATTTTGAATTCTTCTACAGTCCACCGCTCTACCAACTGAGCTATCGAAGGTGTTGACAGCTCAGGTGCTAATTAAAAATTTCGCCAGCTTATCAAAATTATTTTAATAAGTGCTCGGCAAAAAATGAAATCGCGTAAAACAATGGCAAAACGCTTATCGCAGCATTAAAAGCAGCAACAAAACTGTCACAGGTACAACCCTCTACGTGTTGATAAGAAAAGCTGGCGCTTCTAGATTAAAAAGCACAAGAAAAGCACAGCATTTATTGACTAAGAAGCAGCTGTGAAACCACAGTTCCAGGGGCAATTTGTTAATTAAATGAGCCAGTTCGAGACGGCTGATAACGATCTGCATGCATATCAACTTCTCTAGAACTGTCTAAAACGTAACAAATTGCTGGCAAATGAAACGATAGGAATCTGGAATAACTATTCAAACAGCTGAATGAACTTTGATGCTGATAAGGGTGTGTAATAAATATTAATTATACTACATTTCAAGTCAACAACTAATTGTACTTAGTCCCGGTTGATGTTTTAAATCAATGTCAAGTTAATGAAATTGCAAAAGCAGACGGAAAAAATGGTTAATGGAATCTCAATATGTTTATTAATAGGTTTTTTACAAAAAACAAGTCTAAAAAGTTTACTAATAAAAAAGGAAAAGTTCTTTTTATTAATGAAGCATAATACATCATGAATGTAATATGAAAAAACTAAAAGTGTCTTTTCAGCTCAAATAAAATCGCAAATCCAATCGTTACTGATAACACTGGGGATTGCCCTATTCGCAGCTGTAGCTTGAAAATCCAGATTTGACCTTAGTCTAATAATAGCCCAGGCGATTAAATACTATTACAAAACTAAATGAAATGAGAATCAAGAGGGAGATGCAATTCGGTCACAAGTTGATGTTGGATGAGTCATGCGGGGACTTCGTCTGGGTTTATCGGAAGAGTAAATTAATCTACCCATCCCATGTGGCAAAGTGTATTTTTTTCGGGCTCAATTAAATGACTCATCAGGCGGCCAAAAACGAGGCTCTCAGCCTCTCAGTTGACTTACCACACACAAGGCGGCGAGAGATAAAGTCCACTTAGGGGCCTAACGCCTTGCCAAAATAGTTCTCGGTTTTCCAAGGAACTTGGCAATTTTTCGTAGGCCATGCTAGATCTGTTAAAGCGATAGGACAACGCCCACATATTGTGATTGGGACTAGGAAAATTCATTCAATCATAGCGGGAAATTGATACCAAGATCAAGGGCCCATACCGACCAGTTGAGATCCAAAACTGCTGATAAGCAAAAATGGGTAGAAATTCAAAAAAGGTAAAAACTAAGCCGATTCCGATTCCTAGTCATTCTTAAAAATTATGAACATTTGTTGTAACATACCTGAGCAAATTACGAATAACTAACCCAACGACTGACCCCTCGCCGCGGGAATCATTTTTCCTTATCTAACAAGACGTTTTGAGCAATCGATCCACACGCACACTCACTCTTACACTCACAGCCTCAAAACCTTACTCAATGGATCACACACAAATCGCCGCTCATGGCGCTTAGCCATACCGCTCACCTGTCCCTCATCTCCATCAACGCAGCCTCACCTGCCCCTCATCCCGGCCACTGATGCATCTGTGTGTTTTCCTCGGTAATTATCCGTAAGCTGTCAGTTTTTTCGCTCCGCTTCCTCCGATGCACTTCTTGGCTAACCTTTTTTGACCATCGTAAGTGAATGTTAGAGATGGTTCCGATTATTTATATACCTTAAACTCTGCGATAGTTTTTAGTAAACAGTAAAAAATAAATACAATACTAAAGTTTCTTTATTCTTCACGGGCTTTGTTAATATCGGTTTCGATATTTGATACAAGTTCTACCATGAAACACGATGCCATCCCCAAATTGATATTCTTATATAGATAAGCCTATATTGGTCGGATGCCCGTTTTCGGTTTTCGTTTTTATGACTTGCCGCATTTTTGGCATCCTAATTGGTTTGTTAAGTATTTCCCTCGACTTGCCTTTCGGGCCGTCAAAAATTGCCCTCTCTCTTATCGGGAACACACTTTGTCCGAGTGCTGCTGCTAAGATATTACGTGGTTATGTGTCCTAGGCCCCCGGCCGAGTTCTCTGGACCTCTGGCCACTTGCCTGATAACAGGGATCGTGTCTTCTGCGCGCCTCTGGCATGATTCACTTGGTCTGGTTGCTCAGAATCCAAAGGCCACAGGCGATGCTTCCAGAGTATACGAATATATGGTTCCCCGGGGAGATGACTCACAACCGGCGTTTACTAGGTGGCCACGTTAATTGTCGCCCCCGATACGCACTGTCTGTGTTTACACCCGGCGCCTTGCTTTCATCTGGCCGAAAAAAACAAGAAATCCGAAAACAATCGCCTCTCACATTCGATATTCATTGCTGGCTCTGCATAAAGCGAAGCTCATTTCCCCCGAACCACCTCAGCGCCATCGAAATACCGCCACTTAAATTTGTCTCAACTGATAAGTTGTCTTTGGCTGGGATTGTTTATGAACTCGTTTTGCAGCGGGCCATATATAGACCTTCGATAGCTCAGTTGGTAGAGCGGTGGACTGTAGATTGGAATTACTAGTGTAGACATCCATAGGTCGCTGGTTCAAATCCGGCTCGAAGGATCGGAGTTTTTTTTATTATTTTTTTAATGTAGCTATGGAATGTTGCAACATTTACGGAACACAGAGAACTGAATATCAATTCTTTTCCTTACACAAATATATATTATAAATATACTAATATGTAGATCGACTGCAGCCATACATGTTATACTTTATACTTCCTCACAATTTCATACCTAAATGGAAAAAACAATAACGAACAATCCAAAAGACCTGCACAAAGCCATACATCAAGCATTTATTCTTCTAAAAGACAACATGAGTTGTATCGAAACAAGCACTCTGATAAATCTGAAACAGATCATAAAGAAGAAAACAAATTGTAACAAAAATTACAGCCCTCAATTTGCATTTGTCCTTTTACAAAGGACCGGCCAGCCACAAAGCCGAGAGTCAAGAACCAGAATAATAACAACTGGCAGCCAAAAAGGCAACAAAGGCCTCAGCATCAGCATAAAAGTTCAGACTTTTTGACTCACAATCGTTGAATCGAATGGCTGCAGACGTCCTGCCGCTTTGGCTGCCGTTTTCTCCAGCTCCTCCGCCCAAAAACAGATGCTATCAATACATCATTTGCCTTTGTGCGGCTGTCACAAATTCATTCACCTGTTCTCGGGCCACGACTTCATCATCAGAAGCCGGAGCAGCCGGGCATCCAGACAATTATACTGCGTTGATCTCCAATTAGGCTGTCGAAACTCCATTTACACGGCCAACGGGCGTCCCATAAAACATCGAGACTGGGCCTTTCATACATATATATGGAGGAAAATATGAGGGCATAAAGGCAACAGATTCAGCTCTCGTTAAGTTGCAAGTCATCATCGCATCTCCTCCAGCGGCACCATCGCCAACGTCCCATCATCATCATCATCCTCATCGGCGAGTTAAGTAAATACAAATATGAATGAATATGAATTGCTCACTGGCTCCTTGTGAAGATCTGGATCTGCATCTGGATCTTGGCAGATCATCATCCGGCATTGTCTCAGCCGTCATTCCCCATTCCCAATTCCAAGTCGAGTGTTCGGGCGTACAACTCAAGAGTGTTTGCCCTTTCAGCGATCTCGATCTCGATCTCTTAGCCATATAACAGTTGCACTTTTGCCTCGCTGAAGATCGAAATTCGTGTAATTTCTTAATGGCCCCCAAACAAACCGTCTTTATTGCATATATACGATGAACGTATATTCCCTGACTCTGAAGCCATATATATAGGTCTGGTGTGCTCGACCTTAATTAGTTCAACACTCGTTAGATATTCCACAAGCCACAGGCATTCGCCAGTGCACATTTGCATGCCGATGATTGTGATTATGACGATGGCATGCCGTCGAAGAACTTAATACTCGGCTTGGAGAACAAGCTCTTTCCTCATTACTGAAATTCCAATAGATCAGAAGGAGCATAGACGCAGACGGTCTAGATACCCTATAAAAATTTAAACTCCCTTTCAGGAACCTACGATATTTAAAGTCGTAATTGATTTGGTAACTGTTATTGTTTTATTATAGGAATAATATAATATTGCTTCTGCTTAATCTTTTACTACTTAAGTCGTCGTTGTTCCGGCTACCCGGTTATAAAACACTTAATACCGCGCATAAAGCAGAAGTCTTGGCTCTTTAATAACCACACATACTTGGGTGTTAAAATGGGGCGCCACAGCCATGGAAAGCCAGTGTGGTTTGCAGCGCGTCGCTTTGTCTGCAGCTTCGGTTGTTGCCAAACAAAAACAGAACAAAACAAAGACTGAGAATGCTTTCCAGCTTTCCCCGGCAGACGGTCAAGAAGAAGAACGTACTCGCCGGGAGCAAGAAATCTTATTAAAGCGTAACTAAATGCCACGGATTAATGTCTAACAGGCGGTTGCAGGCAACAGGTGCTGCGCATAAATGCCAGTTTAGTGGCCGGTCTGACAGCAGGACACGCTGGGTGGAAGTGGATTGGGACGTGGACCTGGACCTGGACTTGGACTTGGACTTGGACCCCACATGAGGATGCCGATGGGGCATTAGCATATAAGCCTTGGCCAGCTAATGAAGGCCACTGCAACTGCAGCAAGTTTGCTGCCAAAGTCATTCGTTAGAAGCTGGTGGCAAGTTCGCTGCCTAAGTCTTTCGTTTGAAGCCGGGCGGAAACGACAGCGCTGGGTGTCCCATGTTTTGATGATCGCAGAAAACG